CAAACGTTGCTAATGATTATAAATATAATAAAATAAAATATTATTCGAGATTAATTATCTTATAATATAATACGGATATATAATATTATCTACAAAATAATGTGATTAATTTAATTATTTGTTTGTTTGTTTTAGTAAACAACGATTAATAATTCGTTTCAACGAATACAACAAGTATCATTAATTCGTTCATTCATTCGTAACACCACCACCACCACCACCCATATACCTAATCGTATTAAGAAATAATTGCTTATACTATTATAAAACGTTGACATTTTTCAATAGATGATAAAATTTGTACGGAGAAAAATGATTTGCTCGTTAATTTAGACGATGATGATAATTTCCATCCGTCCCCGTGCCCCTTCCGTACTATCATCCCATAAGAAAAATCTCTCGTATCTATAATTTACATACACCCTGTATAGACCGAAAAAAAATTCTAATTACGGGCGCGCATTCATCACTGCACCGCGACCGAGCTATGTGGAAATGATACGCTTGATGAATAGCTCGTAGTTCGAGTCACCGCGATAACAAGATTTCGCATTTTTCGCTTCTCTATATCCATCTCCCCTACCCATCCCCTACCCCTATTCCCCCAACCCCATCCACTCACCCTTTCTCTATTTCCTCCCCTCTTCACACACTCTCTCTCTCTCTCTTTTCTCTTATTTTCTCTGTGTTACTCTTCGACTAGGTACACATTGCTACTATTGAGAATGCGAAACGATCACGTTTCTTTTTATTATATAGAACGAATGCACTTTCGTAGTAGACGCATAGCACGCATGAACGAGAGACGAAGAAGCTTCGTCCCTTATCAATGAGAACGACTATGGATTTGATTCTTTTGTTAGAAAAAAGCAACAAGATTTAAAAATAGGACACATCGAAATATATAACGTCTCGTTAAAATCGATAATAAGTAGTATATATCCCACAGTGATCATTAATACTTATTTCGGATTTATTTTCTTATTTTTTTGTTTTTGTTTTTATTATAAACGAATTATTATAATTATCTAGGTCGTAAAAATATTACATTGTACTAATCTAAAATGCTTTCTCTCTCTCTCTCTCGCGCTCTCTTTTTTTCGGTAGAAAGTATTTGTACAAAATGTATTTGTAAGATTATATATATATATATATATAACGTATTATTATTATGAAAAAGAAAATTATTGAAGATATTTTCTACGTAGTCATCCGTGTAGTTTAATTACGTAGAAATATTTAGCTGACTCGTTAAAATAATTACTTCGTTTTGTGTCACGTTTTAATCGTTCCTCGTTAGAGATCTGATTTTCAGGTCTTTCGTAATTTGACACGTACCATCGTAATACGTTTATCATATTATGATAATTTTAAATAATGATAAATCGTAAATCTTCTATTAGTTTTGTAATATAACTTTTAAATAATTATTTACCATAGACCCTCTACTCCTTACTTATATATTCGAGTTAGAAATAAGTTTCGAAGTTCGATGTATTAAATATCTTTTATTTTAACGATTGAAATATAGAACACACACACACATATATATAATAATAACAATAGAGAAAATAAACGAGATCGATCAAAAAATATCTTTTCAACCTCCGTTCTTATTGCGAAAGAATCGATAAAGTTCTGGGATAAAAAGAAGTCGTGAAAAAGCACTCGTCGTCGTCGTCATTGTGGTGGTGGTGGTGGTCGCACCATATCGAAATTCAAATTTACCATACGTCGTCGTACGTTGTCGTGCCGAACGGAAACTCCGTGAGAAAGAACGAATACGAGTTCGATGCACCCATGTGTTAGCCACATATACACGTCAATGTGTTGCATATACGTATACAACAAACCGTACGTACAATGCACTTCTCTACACCACCACCACCCTCCCTGCCCCTGACTATCACGTCACGTACATCACGACGATGGAACCGCGAACAAATATTATTCCTTCAGTGGCGTGAATGTTCTAGAGGATTTCTGATATCGGCTTGCCATTCCAGAGATTCGAGCCGAAGCAAATTTTTCTTTTTTGCGTTTCAATCCCTCTCCTCCTCCTCCTCCAACGTTTCGAATCAAAACTTTTGAAATCTACTATTTCGTTTAAAACTTATCGTTAGATTGAAACACTCTATCTATCAATAGAGTAAGAAAGTAACATGGTTTTGTGTTTTCGTTATAAATATCGTATTTTTTTATAAATTATATTTATATTTCTTAATGTGATTTAGTGCATTGAAAAAATACTCCTTATAACGATTTCGTTAAATATATTATATTTATGTACAGTGATTCGCAGGAGTATACGTATCAATATTATAAATTTGAAACAATTGATATCTTATTGGAATATTATGTTTCTTAATTCTTCTAGAGAAGATAACATATTTTTTTTAGGATTATCAATTTTATGTTTTCTTTTTTTTTTTTGTAAAGTAGGTCTCACGAAGGAAATACGAATATACTTGTCAGACCAATTATTTTATCATTTACATAAAAAAAAAATATTATATTTCTCTCATAAAATCAAAATACTCTCTCTGGGGAATAAAATTTATCTCTATTTGAAAGAATTTAATAATTCTAACAATATAAATTTCTGTCTATAGGAATGTTACAAAATTTTGCTTTTAAAAGTAAACATCAATTATTAATACAATTTATATGTCGGAAATGTTATTTTGAAAATAAAATTAATATTCATTTTGAAATCTTAACAATCCCGACAATTCGTTCCCATTGGAAAGAATTTCACAAATTGCATTTTAAAGCGAATATCATTCGTATTTAAAAGTTGAACATTGTTGTGTTACGAATACTCCTGAAATTCACAATATATATTTATTCGTTAGATACATATATTATAATATACATATATATATATCAAATTTATCATGGAAAATAATATTAATCAATCCCAGGAGATAGTTTATTCATCTATTTATTGTCTAATCGATTAAATATCAATACATCTGTCCTATATATATATATATTTCAAAACAAGAGAACGTAGAGATTTAAACGGGTGAATTTTACACGGCTCATCCGCTTGCAGGTGTATGTATAATCGCGATAAGAGAAATTATTTAGGACGGAAAAAGGAAGGAAAAAAATGTGTAACGAGTTCCGGTGGATCCTAGCTTGCGCAAAACCACGCTGGGCAGTAATCGGGGTAACGTCATCTCGCTAGGAAACGCATAGATAGTAAAGGAAGATAGAGAAGTAACGTCAGAGAGAGAAAGAAAGAAAGAGAGAAAGAGAGAACGGAAGACGTAACAGGAAATGGATACGGAAGAGAGAGAATAAGAGATATATATATATACGCGTACCAAGAGAGATAAATATACAGGACGCGTGGTTTTACGCGCTTGCGAGAGTTGAAATTCATGAGGCGCAGGAACTGATATTTCGTTGAAAATGAATCACCCTTTATACAAACGGTCCGACGCACAGTGGTAACGGGTACACAATAGTCAGACAATAGGAATAGCACAGTGGTTGCTCGTATAACTGCACAACGCCACTACCTACCCACTGTATGAGGAGAGGGCAAACAGGGGTAAGGGGGAGGGGCAGGGGGAGTAGGAGGGTGCGAGTAAGACTAGATCTGTAGGAAAGGGGGATGGGGGGAGGGATATACAGGTGGGGAATATACGAGACTACGAGAGAATCTGCGAGGTTTCCACCAGGGGAGTCGCTTTTCTAACAAAACAGGAAAGAGGAAAGGACTCGCGCTTCTCTTTACTAAGAGAACGAAGAACAAAATAGAGAGAGTGAGAGAGAGAGAGAGAGAGAGAGAGAGACACTTAACCCTTTTAAGGTACAAACCGAGAACCGTATCGTATGAAGTGAGCCCAATTAAATTAGGAGCCCATTAACGAGACAACTCAGTGTCGTTCTCGACCTACCGTCTATGTTAATTACAAACGAAACGTTCGACGTGCCAAACGACCGACTACCATTATCATGACTAAGGAATGATCGAACTAAATTGTATAGATTTCGAACGATATATCTTATCTGTATAACGTGTTTCAAATATTATTTCAAAAACAATCAGAACGTATTATTACGATATAGTGTGAAATGTTTATTTTTCTTTTATTTGTTTCTTCACCTAAAATATATTATAAAGAGAGATCACGATTATATTATATTATAATGAAAATTGTTCATTTTATACTATAAAATATTTTTCCCCTATATCCTTTTGCGCTAACAAGAGAGGGTATAATAATTCGTTGAAAGGTTAAAATTCCAGGCTTTTAACAAGTGACGCAGTCCTTTTGACAACAAGGACTAAGGGCACTTTCTAACACCGAACCATACATATATTCAAATGGTCGTTTCCTTGGCGTTCATGAAATTTAATACCCGTCGATCGAACCACCATTCCCGTTTCCTCCCCCCCCTACCACCACCACCACCCTCCTCTCCTTTCCTCTCTCTTTCTCTTTCTCTCTCGAGATTGCTCCTTTGAGGTCTGGTCAATCGCGGTCTACGTCCCACGGTGCAGGTTTATCAAACGTCTCTTCGAAGTTCCTCTGGGGTGGTAGACTTTCATAAAATTTAATAGGCTGCTGACAAACTCTTCCCTTTTTCATCTCCAGGCAATTCAACCTGATAGAAACGACGACAAAGTATGCTTTTTCTACTTTTTTCTACTTTTTTTTCTTTTCTTTTTTCTATTTCTATTTTACTTTTTACTTTTTTTTTCCCCGTCAGATCCGTCTTAATCTCCGAGATTTTTTTGAATCGGCAACGATACGAGGAAAGAATCTAAATTTGGATAATTGTTCATCGCGATTCGCGAAACTTATTCTTCTCTCTCATCTTCGAACTCTAGTAATATTAGATTTATTTGCGCGATGATATTATATCTATGAAAAAAAAAAAAAAAAAAAAAAAAAAAAGAAGTTGATCGAAACGTCAACGATGAAAAATGAAAAAAAGAAAAAAAAAACATCGAAGAGAGAAATTTTCCAATATCCCCATCGTTTTTTTCAATTTAGTTAGTTTAAAAATTACCGAATATAATTCAGGCAAGAGAAATTTAATAAATAGTCGAACGATAAAGAATATTATAAAGATTATTTCTATTAACGTGATCTATGGGTGCGCCGTGACCAGGTCTTCCCCAGAGCTTTCGCCAGGTATCGAAATGTCGTCTGCAGCTTTCCTGTTCCTCATTGCGTTCCTCCTGTAATGAAAATTCCATCAAATTATTTATTAGAAAATTATTCCTATACTTTTATCCCCCTCCCCACCCCCACACACACATCCCCAATTTATTTCTCTCTTTTCATAACATTATTAAATCATAAAACTTACGCATGCCCTATCTCGTTTCCATCGTATCTGTTCAGCAAGTTCTCCTATGTACTCTCTGTTGGTGGTGACTTCGAACAAAGGCAAGCTATATGAAAAAAAAAGGAAAAAAAAAGAAAATAAAATTTACTTAGTATTTCTCTCGTCCAAAAATTACAATTTTTAATGATAAAATTTAACAGGGAACTTGGACATGAAAGAAGTAGAACTTAGTTTGATTTAGTTGGACGTTTCGTCCCTTTATTGGGACTTCTTCAGCAACTTAATCTTTACAGTTCAGCGTCTTTTTTCATTGAGTAGACATACATTTTTCTTTTTATTAATATTCAAAACACAAAACATCTAAACTTCGTTAAATTGATCGTTATTATTTAAGTTCCTCAACAAAACTGTAAAGATTAAGTTGCTGAAGAAGTCCCAATAAAGGGACGAAACGTCCAACTAAATCAAACTAAGATCTACTTCTTTCATGTCCAAGTTCCCTGTTAAATTTTATCATTAGAAAATAAAATATTTTGAAAAATAATCTTACGATGGTTAATACGATGTAAAGCGAAATAGAAAGATAATCGATATCCCGTGAATCGAATATCTCGATATTGGATAAGAAAAAAAAAGAAGAATTCGAAACCGATCAAAATTGTGTGTTAAAGATCTAAAATGATATTATAATATAGTTCTAAGGAAATAAAAAATAGCAATCACGTCGTGTCAAGTTCTTTCGATCACAATAACGTTAAGGTGTGATTTTTCAACTATAAGGGGGATGTTTTAGCCCTCCTAGCCTTTTCTAGAAAACGACCAACCCCATCGAGTTTTAGATACCCTCAGGAAAAGTATATCGACGTCGAGAGTAAAGTGGTAGACTAGAACGTTAATACACAAGGGGGATGGAACAGCATCAGACAGGTAAAGCTGTCGGGGTCGGTGCATTCAGGTCAATGGGTTGATTACCTATAATGTAGTTATATCCCTCGAGTCTCGTGCGAACCCTAACCATTTATGCCGCCCTAGTCGTACCTCGTCATCTCATCCAAGCTATACTAAAGCGTGTCACTTTGAAGAAAAAAATCATTCTAAACGTTAAAATAGATATAAGGATTAAGTAGGAACGTGTTTGCTAATGAAGAAGTTGAAAAATCTTCTATTACAAAGATTTTACAAGATATTATATTAGAAAAAATATGATGGGGAAAAAGTAGATAAATATATATGTATATATATATATATATATATATATATGTATATTACAAATGTCTGATTATTAGATAATTAAATGTATTATTAAATGTAACAATTAATTTGATGACTTGGATATTAAATTTATTTGATCAAAATCGCGATATTTTGCTCGAAAGATGAACCAAAATTATCGAAAATAATAGACGAGTGATTATTTCGACGAATAATATATATAATTGGAACACCACGATACGTACGTGTACAGTATGTAGTCGTAGAAATAATTTCATCGATAGATATCCAATATAACGACACAACGAAGATAATAATGAAAAGGATTAATTAAAACTCTTGAAATGAAAATGAATTGTCTGAACTATCGTCTCTCACAGGGTACTTTGATATATCGAACATGATAGACGTTAAGATTATTATAGGAAGTAACTTACGATTCTATCATGTATCCCGGCCGAGTAATGTCCGTCGCATGATAACGAATATTCTCTGGTTGCGAATGATAACGTCTGCTGGTTAACAACGGCACTAATTCAACTCCGCCAGTTAACTTGTACACCTGTACTTCCTCGTTGTAAAGACCTTTCGTATCCCTCGACGATTGTAAATGCGATGTTATACCTGTTGAGAATGGAAAATAACGATTTGAATTGTTTAAAATGTATGGGAAAAAAAACAACGACGAGAGAAAGAGAAAGAGAGAGAGAGAGAATGAAAGAAAGAAGAATAGAATAGAATAATTGAATGTAGGGTGATATTTTACCCGGTTCCGCATTCGGATCGAAAAATGTATTCATGTCTGGAACAGTCAGAGGATCGATCTCCCTTTTATTATAAAGTCTCCGGATCGTCGAGTCATTGGTCCATCCCTGTAAAAGACCAGCGAACAATTTTCCAAAGAGTTTGACTTTTCGCAGGAAGTAAAAAACATTCCAGGAAGGAAGTTTCTCTCGCGACAGTCCTCGAAGAGAAAAATGATCGTCTAACCGTTCGTCGCGCTCACCACCACCACCACCACCACCACACACCACCACCCCCTCATCCTGATCCAGCTTAACTCGCGACTCTACTCGTTCCGTTCATCCATCAACGTCGGTCTAGTTAGTTGGCTAGTTAAAGTAAAGCTGGCCAGTTTATTAGCGAGAAAACAGAAAACCTACCATAAATCCACAGACAGTAGGAGAGCCGTTCATGTAAGTGAGTTCGTTTAACAAAGTGTGTATATATGTAAAGAGAAAAGGAGAACGAACGATAGGTAAAGAGAAAACATTAAAGAAAGAAAGAGAAACAAAAGGTAGAATAAGATAGATGGACAGAAGAAGAAGAAGAAGAAGAAGAGAAAGATAGAGATAGAGTCAGCGTTAGTTAACGTAAGCTAGCTTACGCGCAATAAGAAGTAAACTTCAGTCGAAGTGGAGCTCGCTAATAAATTTCAGTTTAAACTTTCCGGCTTGCAAGCTCGCAAGCTCTCGCTAAGGCGCCGGTTGGATCGTTCAATTAGGTAGTAACGTGCCACGGTTATGTGTTTGCTGTTCGAGGAGAAACCAGTAAGATGCGCTTGGTTGGTTGGTTAATTAAAAATTAAGAGTTTGCTTCTCTCCTGTAGAAAGTGGATCGTCGATGTAGCAAAAGCTATGAACCGATGCGAAGCGACGACGAGGGACCAATGCCAAGAAAACCGATGCAAGAAGAAATGAAGATCGTGCGATTACGACGACGTGGGGGTGGGGTGTAGGGGAAGGGGGGCAAAGGATACCTATCGAAGAAGAGAAAAAAATATTTCAACTACCTGGAAACTTTTTAGGACGAGCTCGTAAATGTGTATATATATATACACTTCTGTAATATTAAATTTTTATTCCGTGTATTTGTTTAATCTTTAATAATAGAAGAAAAAAAAAGGTACGTTTCGGAAAAAATTAACGAATCGGTTTTTTTATTCTTTCTTTCTTTTTTGTTTGTTGGTTTTTATCTATCGTCGATTTTTTTTTTTTTATTAAAAACTTTTTTTTCCTTCACGCAAAATATCTCTCAGTAGAGATCTTTCTAAGAAGAAGTTTTAAGAGGAATCGTTTCTCCATATCCTAGAAGATGATTACGACGTAATAGCCGATCTTACCGTCGTTTATCACTCGCTTAAATGAAATTCAATTAAGGTAACACAAATGTATGTATGTGTGTATCTCAATGTACGAGCACGTACGTACAGTACGTACAAACGAACGAACGAACGAACGAACGAACGAACGAACGTATACGACGAATAACAGTTCTACAAGAGTTATCGCAAATAAGGAGGTAATTAAAAACTAAGTTACGTAGTGAGAGTTACTTGTTGCGGATTTCGGAAGATAACGATGAGAAAGAGAAAGAGAAAGAGAGAGTGAAACCTTCAACAGGAAAAGCCAATAATTTCATCCTTTACGATTTATACTAACCCAGTATGATTCTATTCGGGTTATGGCCGTGAAATAAGCGATCAAGTTTAACTATTCATACGGTATGTTGCGGTAATCGTGTTTGAGATTTATGATAGTGGATGAAATATTCATCTGAGAAGGAGGCGAACGTTACCTACTAATAATTATCACGCGAGAAGATGAATTTATCTTGATACGCGAACGTAAGCTAAGTAATACGTATTTAGAAACTGTCCAGACATTTAGCAAAGATCAGTTTATCTTCCTTGAAATTTGAGACATATATTCGAAAATTAAACATACCACCTATTCGTTAACGAAAAGTTTCATCATTTTAAAATTAAAAGTGCGTAAACGGAAAGAAAATTTGTACAAAAAGATACACATTGATGAGGAAGTTTTCGGAACAGTGCATTCTCCGATCCAATCTGATTCGCGTTGGTATAATAAGAGAGAGTGAGAGAGAGAGAGAGAGTGAGAGAGAGAGAGAGAGAGAGAGAGAGAGAGAGAGAGAGAGAGCGAGAGAGTTGCTTGAGCAAGTTTGCTGGTATCAGCCAACACAGAACCCTCTTGTTCCTCGTGACAACGTAATTTCGTCGTCGTTCTAGCTTGTTCTCTCTATACCAAGCTGTCGTGTCTTCCAACGTAAAATCACGTACGAACCAATTTCTACCGACACAACAAAGTACACCACTCCTTCTCCATCTTCTTGTTCTTCTTCTTCTTCTTTTTCTTCTTCTTCTACTTCTACTTCTACTTCTACTTCTCAAACTTTCTTTTTTCTCTCTTTATTAAATTCTAACCGTGAGTAGAATCATTTCGAAAATTTCAGTTCGCTTCTTGATTAAACAAATATGAAAGATCGTCAGGTAAATAAATTTATCTCGTAATAAATAATTTATCTTAGACACAGACATGAGTTTTAAATATTATTTCGAATATTTATAATATCGTTTATATTAAATAAATATATGTAAATATAATAATAAATATATCTATATGAGAAGAGATGAAAATATGATTTATAAAATGATCGATTTCAACTAATATAATATGGTAAATTATTTTCTATCGATCAATTTTCGTACCATAGATTCCAAAAAGTGCACACCAAATAACTTCGGATCCCTCCAAGGAAGTCCTCCAGGACCAGGACGACCCCAGGGCCAGGACTGCACAGATTAAGCACGCACCGGCGAGGCATATTAAGCAGTTTCACCAAGAGATTCGCTTCCATTGACTATATGTACAATATAACCCTGTTTGTTTGGCTGTGTGTATGTGTGTGTGTGTATGCATAGGTATGTATATGTATACCTACTACGTGAAATCGTTGTTTCGTGCAAGAACGCGTGCTTACGCTAACCACGTGCGCATTTGGAAGCTCGCACGAGCAGCAACTAGCTCCGACTCCTCTTGGGAACTCCTAGCAAATAGGAGAGGAAAGACGTTTTCCTCGAGAAATCCTCTTTATTGTTATCTTTTATGTATACCTATCCCCCACCCTCCCCACCCCTCCTTACTTACAAGCTTCTTCGTATAATTTCTACATATGTAACGCTTTGAATATTGTAACACCCTCCAATTTTCGACACCGACTATGTGACAAGAATTTCTTCTTGATTATCTTCGTTATTCGATTCACGTGATAGTTCTTCCCTAGTTTCTTTTAATAAAGAAACAAACACAAAAAAGACAAACTTTATTCTTAGCAAACGACTAAATTACAGATGTGTAAGAGAATATTATTTGTTTTCTTTATTTTTTTGTTCATTTATTTATCATTTAAAATTATAATCCGTGATCAGAAATTCTTTACGCGCAAATCCGATCGATAATCAAACAAAACGTAAGATAAATATTTTCCAAAATTAATGTATAAGGTTCGTGATTCTGTTAATCATTCTCATTGTCTTCTTTCAAAAACTCTATTCCACGAAGAAAAATAATATAAATAAATCAATTAATATAATAAATAATACGTGTGAACCTTTTTATAGAGAAATTTTATTTACTAAAAGCACGATTGATTAATTTTGATGATACAGAAATGTAATGTTTTTTAAATTTACTCTCTGTGTGTGCGGTTTCTATTCGATCAGGATAGCTTTGCTTTGATCCTACGTTAGAAAATTCACACTAACGTATATCGATCTTTTTCGTTTCACGAGAAAGGGAAAAAGGCTTTTCTACGTGATCGGTGAAGTCGGGCGTGCGTCCAGAATTTGACCGAAAGGGATCGAGAGGATCGTGGTTTGCCGTTCTCTCCCTTTTTTTCCTCCTCCTCCTCCTCCTCCTCTTTCCCCTCGGCATCTCCTGATCCACGCTTTTTCTCTTTTTAAATTATTGCCGGTGAAAAAAAAGAAAATGTATCGTTCTCACCCCTACAAGAAAAATCCATTACGTATTTTTATTCAAAAATACTGATTCCTAACAAATATGACACACAAAAAAAAAAGAGAAATTATTTTCTTCTTTAGATTGAAAAGAAAAATATATATATATTTGTGTAATTTCTTTTTTAAATAATTTGTCTGTATTATCATTTAAAAATAACGAATATATACGATGTTAACGATTAACAAATATCTCTATAAAAAGAAAAAAATAAATAAAACTTCTCGGAGACCATTTCTTAATATTAACAAAAAAAGAAAAATAAAAAAGAAAAAGAGAAACGAAGTATCATCGGTTTATTCGAAAACAAGGTATCGAAAAGTATCTATTGAAATATCTGACTTCGTATATACGTCGGTTGTAAATTACAAAAGCTTTTGATATCGAGCCTGATCATTTGAACAAAATACAAGTGAATTTCAAAGGAAACAAAATAGCCAGTTACGAGAAGCTTATAAAAGCTTTCGGAATGAAGTAGTCCTTGGCATAGATATTGAAACGAATCGTGTCACGATCGGTTTTCGATTGGTCATCGTTGAAATTCAGAGGTCAGAGGGTATACGGAACACCTTTTAAAAGGATTGTACACGCGAGCCCACATAGCAGGCGTATTATCAGAGCAAACGTTGGCATGCTTGTATCGATCCATAGCGAAGGTTACTCTCTTATTCCTCTTTGAGTTTCGTGATGGTAATCGTTTCAATAATTGCGAGAATGAGTTTACATAACTCCTCAGCGATTTAATATTGAAGATACACGTAGAGAGTAGACTTTAGAAAGACACCGATTAACATATTCAATCCGAGTCATAATTTTACATATCATTTTACGTGCATTCAGAATGAAAGAAAGAAAGAAAGAAAGAAGGAAGGAAAGAAAAAAAAAAATAAAGAAAAAAGGAAGAAAAGAAGAATCTAGCGCAAAATTTGAAATTATAAATAAGCGTTTTGCGTCTTGTCAGATCGATTCTTCTTTAGTTTACCTGACCAGAAGAGGTACGACTCCTGACGGATTCCAATGGCTCCAGACGTACGTTTTTCTTTCTTAAGGTTGCCGGGCACGGAGCACCACCGCCTGGTTTACCCCAAGGCGAGTAGTTCGCCAGAATCTCTCGCAACTGGAAAGAAAATTAAGGGAAACTTCGCGATGGTCGTGATCATCCTCTTCTAACTATAGGACCCTCTCTTCCTCATACTCAGGAGCTTTCCTTTTTATTTTCTCGACCGTTGGAGTTTTGTAATAACGTAAGAAAGAAGAGAATAGATAAAGAGAAAGCTTCGTAATATCGTATCCTTCGTCTATACTTTCCTTTACTTTTTCTTTTCACTTTATCAAACCACCGATCTCTTACCTATTATCTTTCTAAATATTATTGTTCATAAGTTAGAAAATTGATCGGTCTCTCTTTATCGATCCACACCTTTTGATTTTAATAAAACATTGACAGATATAATACACATCGATAAACTAAACCTCCGAAGATATGAATATACCGAATCCAAATGGTCTCGCTATGTACAATCAAGTTCGAGGGTGGTTTACGTCAGCAGCGTATCCTTCGTGGCATGTTTCTCGGAATTGTTCGTTCGGATTATGCAAATGAAGTCCGGTAGGAATTCCGAAAGCATCCTTGTCGATCGTTTTCGACGTCGTTACCATTTCATACGGGGCACGAACTTGCGTGTCTTAGAAACGATAGGAACAGAATCGAATATGCAATGAGTCTCGAAAATATCTGTGTCGAGCGGATATGTATATCTCTGTGTATGCACACCCGAACTAGTGTATATCTATGAACAAAATTATGTATATAGTACAATCGTATAAAACTCGTTAATAGGAAAATGTATTACAATATATTATAACACATATACACGTGAAGAGACATTGACGAATTTGTCGACACGAATAATATTATCAATTTTAACGTAGAAAGAAAGAAAGAGAAAGAGAGAAAGAGTCGAATAAAAACTTCAGTTAAGCACCGGTTTTTATTTAGCAATAAATCGAAAAAGATAGTAGAAAAGAATTTATGACTTTCTATCGTTAAAAACAACGATCTGTAAAGGGGGAGGAGCTCTTAAAAGGATGCCACGGCCAAAGGGTACTGACGTAAATAGCACTCTAAAACGGCCGATGCCTGAACTTTTCTTTACGACGAAACGATCCGGAGCCTCAGACATACTTCTCGTTGTTCTCGATGCTTTTGACGTAGAAACTCCTCCTTCTGGTGATTCCACATAGTCGTCCCCTCTTGAACGAGTTGTCTTTCTCTGTCTTTGCTCTCGGCATCCTTGATTTCCGGTACATACGTCGTTTGAAAATATTCCCCTGCCATATCCACCCGGCCATTCGGGTGATACAACTCCCTTTGAAAATAAAAATAAAAATAAAGAAGAGAATAAGATCGAGAAATATACGGGATGAAAAATTGACTATTTTTTAATTTATTGTTCGCACAGGAGAGAGAAAAAAATATAATAAATGTTGTTGATACGAATCGTGTGCTTTTTTTGCACGTATGATACGTTATCCTTTCGTAAAATTATACGAAACGTATTAGACGATCGATTAAAACGACACGCGTAAGAGTAATAGAAGAATAAAAAGTAATATACGATGTATAAATTGCGTGGATACTAATTATTCATCATTTTGAATACGAATGCGTTGATGTGTTGATTAAAAATACATTTTTTTTATAATGACGATCTTCAAAATAATATTTAAATACCTCGCTATTTGTAATACTCATTTATTTCGATTGGAAAGTATTTCAATGTTTGGAAAGAAATTAAAAAAAGAAAAGAAGATTTACGTTACCCGTGGTAAATTGTAGTCTAAATATACGTCTTCGTGTCTCTTTTAAATGTTGTTTAAATTATTCTTTGGGAATTATTCGTATTTTAAATTCGGATATATAAAGAATATGGAAATACTTACACGAAGAAACGGGCACGAAGAGTTTTACGTACTGATAAAAGAATTTCTGATTGAGCCGATGAAACACGAACGAGTGGAAAGTCTTTTAAACTAGGCTTACATTCTTAAGTTAAAAGGGTTGCTCACCTGGTAAGGAAGAAACACGCGACTGGGGTTCGTTCGCGTTTGATAGTTGCCTTCGAAGGAGTTGCAGCCTTTTTGTAGTAGTTGCGTCGTCACCCCCGCTTCTTTCAACACATCCCCCTGCCACGGCCTTCTCTATAGATTATACTATGAAGGAACGTTGTAACTAAGCTCACCCCTGTCCTCCTTTCGACCTTCAACCCTCGACCTCCATTCTTCAGGATCGTGCCAACTCGAACAAGAACCTTTTTAAAGGTAACGAAGTTAAAAAAGAAATCGTTTTTTCTTCATTGTCACGTATTCTACAACACGCTCTCAACGTTATTAATAGTTTTATTTCCACCAATTTTATTATATTTTTAAGTAATGGAATTAAAGAAGAAATCAATTATTTTTTATCGCTTATTCTGTACCACCTCTCAACAATTATTAACAGTTTCATTTTCGCTAATTCATTTGTTGTTCCATTAATATTATTTAATTTGAAGTTTCTATATATCCCATCGCTGTATCCACTTATACTTTTGTACTTTTTGACGATTTATTTGATATATAAATAAAACAATGATAGGACGTTTTATTTTGTTAATGAATTTTCTTTTATGAATGTAATAAAATATAAATTCGTTAACTTAAATGCGTATATGAATAGAAAAAGTTGATCAATGGATTATTAAGTAACTACCAAGAAAGTTCATAAATGACTTATTACGTATCTACCGAAAAACTTTGTCAATGACTTTTCGTTTATATCTATGGTTAAAGTTCACCAATAACTTAGTAAGTATCTATAGTTTAAGTTCGCTAATAACTTAGTAAGTATCTACGGTTGAAGTTCATCAATAACATAAAAAGTACGTACGGAAAAAAATCATCCATGATTCAGTTTCTATTCAGAAACTTATTAATAATAATTTATCAATAAAAATAATGCTTTGACAAAAACCTTGAATTAAAAACATTTTTAAAAACAGATCTATCTAATTGATAATGATCGTATTAAAAAATGAAAAAGATAACAATACAAGAAATACTTATGGTCTGAGTAATTACATAATTATAATTTTCATTTGATGTTACATATAAGAAAAATTTTACGATAAATATTATCATACATTATTTTTAAGAACAATTATTATTAATTTAGAGGTTTATAAATAACAATTTGCTTAATTACAAATATGAGAAATCGTTTTCTTTTTTTAGTATTACTAATCAATAAATCAGTAAACGTATTGTCAAGCTAAAATAAACACCATATTATGCTTTCGTTCCAGCTAACGATGCTTTGACTTGAGCTTGCTGGAACATTTGCTGCAATTTTTCTAGAGTTTCCCTATGAGCATCTTGCTTTTTGTCCAAAGTGGCTATTAATTCTTCCGTGCGGCTCCTGGAAATGAAATTTAGTTGATATTTTCATTACAAACAAACTCGTTAAAACCATCGTGAACTTACAATTCGGACGAAATATAGTCCATACGTTTAGAAACATTTTGTTTAGCTTCATCTAAGTATTGTTTTATTAAACATGGTCCGATTAATTTATAAACTTCATCTTCAGACTTGAGGAGGTCCAACTCCTTTTTAACAGCAATATTTTCATTCAATTGTCCATCAAGTATTTGTCTTGTACGAAGTGCTTTATTGTAATCTGGTAAAAAGAGAATCTATTTATGGTACTTTTATTAAATAATCATATAAATATTAATCTAATTATACTTATCTTTGTAGTATATTAAAAAACTACTTATTTTTCTTACCTTTTTGAACTTGATTAAATTTATCTATTTCAGCTTGAAGCTTTTTCTGAATTTCTTCTACCATTTTCACTAAAAATATAATATTGATAAATAAATATTAAACATTTTTAGAACATGATTAGGTTAATAATAAATCACTATCACAAGTAACATTCAATTAATGTTTCATTTATCATTTTTATAATAAAAATTTGACATGACAAATATGAACTTCTGCAATATATCAAAATATTATTACCCATAAGAAAATTAGCATGCAATATATTTAAAAAATTATATTAGTGACAATAAAAATTAAAACTGATATTTGGTTGAAATTTCACTCACTATTGCTATGTTTAAAATTAGATATAAGTATTCCTTTAACTCGAAGTAGAATGAATATTTCTAAAATTAGTTAACGTTGTCTAAATTAGCACGCTGTTTCTTTCCTTAAGCAATGATTCTACGAAAGCGCTGCCTTCGTTTAACACCCACACTGCATAATATATACATGTGTATTAAACTTAAACATTTATACATAATGTATTTCTATATATACATACAGATTCATAGAAGTTGTGTAAACTTACATCTGCACAAGCAAATGCATACTATATATAAATTTATAATCTATAATAATAAATGATTTTGTACATTAACTTAAAATTTATATCAAAAATTAAGCTGCACACGTTGAGATCAATGATAAATTCGATCTAATTAGATTTACAATAAAAAAGTGGCGGGTATTTGACAAAATTCAACAATTTTTAAACATAATCTAATTAAATTAAATTAAATTAAAATTATGTAAAAATATTTGAAATAATGTAAGCTATTAACATGAACTACGTATTTATTCTGTATTTTAAAAATTAATACTGTTAATCTACTTTATCAGTAATTATTTGACACCTTACGAGAATATCTGAATAAATGCGCAAATAAGGATATGATGTGTGTCAATGTTGATTAATGCACGACTGTGCATATACACAATACGTAATATACACAACTACAAGAAAATGCATATGAGAATATGTAGTATGTTTACCTATTCGCATGTACCAATTAATCTTGATGCTATGACTAAATATACAAGGCACAAAACTATGTTTTTATCCTTATTAAACAGGAAGGATCCAAGTAACGAATGAAAACATAAAAGTAACAGAGAAGAGAATATTTAAGGAAAATAAAAAGAAACGGTGGCGCTAGTAGTTATTATAATATTTTTATTGGTGCGCCGTACGAACCAATCACGTTGTCGTTTCAACACGTTCATGGACGAATTAAAACGCTCTACGATAATACCACAAGAAGGCACGCACAATGCACTCTGACGGTAGAAATGGGAAACGTCAGTATCAAAGTATGGTGTCCCCTCTTAGTTTATTGTGAATATTTTTTTCTAATATGAGTGTGTTACACAATTAAAATGATAAAAAAAAAGATTTTATTTAATGTAAATAATTAAACAGACGTGACTTCTTGACATAAACGTTGACGTCATGAATAATTATAAACATAATCAATAACATGATTACGAGTATTTTGAAACAAGGTATTATCATTCTTTCATGCTTCCAGATGTTATCCAAACATCTCGTGATTATTAAATTCTGTTTTCATTTGGAAAATCTTTATAATGTAAAATGGTGTAAATTTCTAAAATAAATTATAATGTACCTTTATTAGTTGTTATTATTTATATTGTTTTATGTATTTTTCTTTATTTTCATTTGAAAGTTTGAATTTAATAATTTATTTCAATATAATACGTATTACTGTGCACTGTGGCTTTAACAATATACCATGATTATTGAAGAAAGAAAAAAATAATATACACTAATTAATATTACGACACGAACAAGTTTACCAGTATTGAATTCTCTGAGAACTGGTTTTAAAAATAATTATTAATTATATACTTATACACAAAAATATCACAAAAATAAACAATATGGTTAAATATCTCAGATTCTATTTATTTTGTAAAGAAATGGTAGAAATCAAAATCTGTAGATTTTGAACATGTTAACTGTTAAGCAAGTTTGAACGAAAATTTCCATTGGGTCACTTTGAAATATAAAATCTGACTTTGTTTATATCGCTTCTTCTGTCAAAAGGTTTATATTTTTTTCAATATTACAAGGTAATATTTCGACGGTTATGAATATTTTTTCCATTGAAAGTCTAAAGTCAAGAACAGAGCATTTAAGAATTATTGTGCTTAATTTACGCTAAATTTTTCAACAAAAAAAATACTTTTGCATTAATAAGAAATTTTAGAAACGTTATACTTTCCCTTACTTGTTTTTAATACTGAAAAAATGTCAAATAATTTATCGTCAGATTTTAAATCGGATATTGATAAACGGAATAGTTGTGATAGCGAATTTGATTCAGATGTTGAAAATATTTTACAAGACTTAATTATTGAAGAAAATATCGAAAATGATAATGAAAAGGAAACTGAAATGGAAAGTAATAAGTGGTCTGAATTTAGTGGACGTCAAAAAATATTTCCTTTTACTGGAACAAGTGGCATAAACATGAAACTACCTAACACTATAGATCCATATGAAGTATTTTCTTTATTCGTTGATGAAAAAGTACTAAATTTGATCGTAAAAGAAACAAATAGATATGCAGAACAAAACGTAAATCATTGGACACCAACTTATCCAAATGAAATAAAAAAATTCATGGGTTTGATTATATGGTTGGATTTTATAAAAATGATACCTACAGGCAGTTATTGGTCACGAAAGTTATTGCTTAATTTTGATATACCGCACCTCATCATGCAACAGAGCAGATTCGAATTACTTCTTAGTAATATTCATTTTGCTGATAACACCACTATTGCTCCAGGTAATCCACTTAACAAAATTTTTCCACTTTACGAAATACTGCAAGCAAATTATCAAAAAATATTAACTCCTGGAGAAAATATTATCATTAACGAAACATTAATTCCATGGCATGGAAGACCAATATTCAATCAATATATTCCAAACAAAGCTTATGAATACGGAATAAAATTATTTAAATTATGTACACCAGAAGGATTTACATGGTCAATGATGATGTTCTCTACAAAGTATTGTGATGTCAGAGAAACTAGATTTGCATATAATGTATGTGTGGCACTTGCAAAAAATCTTTTCAACCAAGGACGAACACTTTACATTAATAATTTTTATATCAGTTATGAATTTGCTATATCGTGTCTAAAACAGAAGACTCATGTAGTTGGATTAGTTAGAAATAATAAAAGATCCATCCCAAAAGACATTTTACAATCTAAGTTACAAAAAGGAGAAATGATATCCAAAGAAGATGATAATGGTATCATCATACTGAAATGGAGAGATTCTCGGGATGTGAGAATTCTATCAACGAAACACGTTCCCCTTATGATACCATGCATAAAATATTGGGATATTATAAATAAAGCCTCTAATAACTCAAAATCATGCGTAAAATTAAAACCAATAGCATTTATTGACTATAATAAAAAGAAATGTATAATAGACCACTCAGAACAATTAATATCTCATATAACTACAATTATAAAAGGGATGAAGTGGTATCAAAAACTTGGTATGCAATTTCTCCTCGGAGTTACGGTCGTAAATGCTTTTGTGATTTATAATCAAGCAACAAACAAGAATATACAAATAGAACAATTTAAAGAAATATTAGCTCAACAATTATTAGAGTTAATATTTTGCAAATTGTAATGCACAAAATTTTTTTTTATAAACAGCATAATATTACAGTTGAAACAAATATTTCTGAAATAAGTATTAAACGAGCATGTAAGTAAAGTCAGTTTTAATTCTAATTGAAAAGTAATAATTAATGACATTTTTTTAAGATTATGTTGTTTAGTTTTTCACAAAGTAACTTCACAAACATTTAAAACAAAAATGACATTAATTATTGCTATAACTAATATTTACAAAATAATGGACAAATTAATATAAATTTAATCAAATGAAATATATATTAAGACACTTTTATATTTAAAACAAACATTACGGAAACGGAATTAGTTCGATAAAGTTGCACATTAATTGATAATTGGTATCATATAATACAACTGTAAGCAAGCCTTCCTTCTCTCTTGCCTTTCCCACAAGTGCAATTAACAAATTATTTTTCATTAGTAACCAAATAAGTTGTAAAAATTGTCCTCATAGTATTTGGCTCACTGGTTAGATGCTCACTAGTTGTGTTATTATCTAGAACGATTTCTAAAAAGCTTTATTAATAATGAACGTTAAAAATAAATTAATATAGTTAATTATGTTGTAGAGCAGTATGTAAAAATACATCCACATGAATATTATGATTAAATAAATATATATACAAAAAATATTAAACCCTTAAAGTATTTAACATGTGCGTACAAAAATATTTGTTTTATATTGTTTAACATATTGATCGTTACAAGAAATCTGAAGAAAATCTCATTTATATAGAATAGGTACGCTTATATTTAATTATTAATTTTTAGACACTCCTCTCATAAAAATGATAATATTCAATAAATAAATAAAAAGAAAAACAATACCAATATATTCATAATAATTATCCATAGAATTTATTTTTTTTTAATTATTTTAGACTAATCATTGACTATCTTTAAGCGCAAGAATTGTTCAGGTACAAAAAGGTTAAATTAAGTTCTTCATAAAATATAATCAACAAGCTCTTTCTGCTATTTGCAATAATTGTATTGAAAAAAGAATATCTCAAGATATAATATTCTTAACACATACACAAAAGTTCCTTATCAAAATAATAGAAAAAAATTTTGTTGGTGTAAAAGTTACATCATAAAAAAAATCTTTCCTTGATTAAACGGATATAAAAGAAAAAATATTTTACACACATAATATTACATATGTATAATTGATGAAAAACAAGTTGCAAATAGATTTGTACTGACAGTGTAGTGGTAGTAGCAATCGTGATACGGGATAGTAGAAACGACAGTAATAATGGTTCGGACGTATCTCAAGTTCTGCCATCTTTCTCTCATCCTTTTCTTGCACTTACGACATTGCGGTTTTTTTTTAATATTTTATTCCATTCACTTTTTTGTACCATAATCGATTGAGTATAGAGCAGCGAGTAACTTAACGATAGATTTCCTAAACGCAAATTGCTTCGATAAACATAATGCACCACATAGTTACAATTGGATGCTACACCGGCGCCGTGAATGCAACCCAGTTACAGTAATGGCGATAAGTACTTAAGAATCCAAGCTCGTGAAATTTTAGTGTACAAATTTTCTAAACTTCACTTTTATATTATGTAACGAGTATAAACAATTAATACTTAATTAACACTGAATGATATAAGAAAAGTCAATATTATTTAAATTACATTTTCTTAGTTTTACGAAGAGCGATTTAAAGTTCCAAGAAGTAACTATGGACGACTAGTTACGATATTGAATAGGACGAGTCAAAGAGAGGGGAGGAATGCGCGCGCGCATTGAGCACGGACGTTATTATAGCCATTTGCTCGTGATTACCTCTAGCGGCCGATCACGTATGTGACATGGCGTCCGGGTAGGAAGAAAGTTGGTTGTTAAATAAGCGTTAATGTTGTATTTATGACACTGACCGACCGAAAAGGGAACATCCGAGGCCGCGAATTTCCCACAGACACCGGCATTGATGGTAATGCATGCGAGGAAACCACAAAGGATCAGCGATGGGTAGGGCACCACCGCGTCAAATACTCGATCCTGACACACAACCAACCTCTCTATCTCTCTCTCTCTCTCTCGCGCTCTCTTTTTCTCTCTCTCTCATTCTCTCTCTCTCTCTCTCTCACTCTCTCATTCTCTCTCTCTCTCTCTCTCTCGCTCTCTCTCTTACTATTCACCTCACCTCTCATCTCCGACGTCCGTCCGTCTGAGCCACTCTACATTACTCTCTTCGTGATACACATTACTGTTTGCACCGATGCATTTCCCTGATGGAAGGTCCTTGATTCCGTCGTGGAAATGACGCTATTTCGCGCCTTTATTCACCAACTATTGTCTATCGTTTCAGGTACTTCGAAAAGCACCAGGCCCATCCCTACCAGGTAAATATTCATCTCTATTTTTCTTTCTTTCTCTCTATCTCTCTCCCTCTTTCTCTCTTTGAGGAGAGGGGGTGGGGGGTACGAAAGGAAGTATTTTTTCGATGACATGACTGATATGCATCAATTTACCACAATTATTTGTCCTTCGTTCCTGTAAAAGTCCGATTTTCTATGATTATCGTACGCGCTTACTGTGTCACATAGAATTCACCGTGTGTCGTTTTAACTCTTCCCTCTTACCTACTTTTCCTGTCCCTCCGTCGTACTAGTTTAACTTTCCTACAAATTTCATTAGAATTACTATCTGATAATTCGTAATGATTTATATATCTTTGGAAAAAAATCATCATAAAAAATGACAAATCCTTCCATCCAAATTTTAAAGTAACATATTTTCTGCATCGCATCGTATAGTAAACATCTCCTCAATACACGCTTTATGAATATATTTTATTAATATTTATTTTGATTTGATGGCTGATACTTGTCAAACACGATTCCACATCATTGATACATTTTTGTTCAATGATAAACTTGTTTATATGATATTTCAATTTAAATTCAATAACGTTAAACCGTGGTTACCAATAATTTGTCTTCTCAATAATCTTTCATTTCATTAGTTATTTACGGAATTAAATCTTTTCGTTTTTTTTAATATATTTTGTATATAACAAATTCTGTTATAACACTTTGTGCAATGAAACGCCATTATTATAAACGGTGGAAGGGAAGTATAATCAATAATATAACTTGTTCTATAAAAATGACTTTTATGATAAATTTCTAAGACTTGCATTAACCTCTTTATTAAAGCTTTGTTTCAGTTTCATTGCATTAAATCTTGTTAGACTAAGTTATTTCACTTCTAATTGCTTTTTTCTATCTTTTTTTTTATGTTGTACAAAATGAGCATTATTCGTATAGAATTTGATTAATTGATTATTATACAAGTATTTAATGGTTAATATAAGTTCAATTCTATGCAATGATCAATTTTCTATGTGTTTATAAAATAAGTAATGCAAAGAAAATGATTCTGCAATGCACCTGTAAACATAACCTTTCTTTTACTAAAAAATCAATACCTGCAATATTTTTGGACATTCTATTTAGAAAAGATATTAAGATATTTAAATATTATTATTATTAAGCTTCGTGCTTATGATTTTCAATATATATAATTTATATTTGTAAGATATTAATATAATTACAAATTCTAATATAATATTTTGTCATGTCAACAATTTCTATACTAATATTTTAGTTCAATTTTTAGATATAAATTGTTTTTTTCGTTGCTATTATCATAAGAAATCATAACATTCATGATATAAGAAATAATTTATAATGTATATATAATTGTGGTTATAATTTGTTCATAGAACGCGAAGTACAGCAGTTCTAAGAGGGAATATTCTTCATCGACGACGTCGTCGGATAGTCGCTACGAAGCGCGTATGCGTGATTCCCCAAATGGCAATTCTTACAGTCCAGCAGGAGGCTTGGGATTGGGCATGGGAGCAGACAGAGATAGCCCGAGGAGTTATACCTCCAAGCCCCTGTATAAGAAGGAGAGAGAAAATAGAGACTATAAATTATCCTCCTCTAGGGACAAGTATTCCGGTAAACATATTTCTTTTACATTTATTATATATATATATATATATATGTATCTACACACCACCACTTTGCGCTTAACGAATTTGTACTCTATTTATAAAATATTAATTACATGAATGATAAGGCAAAATAATATCTTTAAACAAAGACCGATACAATATAAATATTTGTAATTTTACTAGTAGTTTGTAAAGAGGAAGATGTAATATAACTTTGATAAGTACATTTACGTAATGAAAATTTATATTCATATGTATTATATCAAAGAATAATATATACCGTGCATCTTTTATAAGAAAAGTAGAATAGAAAAGTTAAGTTAATGGTTTGTTATAGATTATAGATTCTTTTATTTCAAAACATTCAATTGTACTACTTCCTTCAGTATAAAAACAGGGTTGTGTCTTAACATTTTCAGCTGTAAAATGCTTGCTTGCATATGTGTAGATTGTGCACGATCACCAAAAGACAAGAGAAGCCATGAGAGCAGGGATTCAGAACACAGGACCAACCACGATAGGAGTAGTGGAGAGGTAAAATGAATGGTTTAAATATTTCATTTATATTCTTTTTCTATAATATAATCTCTAATTTTGTATATTTATATATACTTATTATAGATTTTACATCCCATAAAATTATCATCAAATTCATCACGAGATTCTTCGTCTCAAAGAAAACCAGCTCACAATTCTTGTCAGGTCAGTAACAAATAATAATTTTATTTAAAACAAAGATACTTGTATGCAATAGCCATCAAATTTATTTTATTTTTCTCACAAAAAAGTTATAAGAAATAATTTGATATAATTGCACGTCAATTTGATCAAGAAAGTTTGATATAAGAGTTTAAAACAGATAAAAGGTGATGAAGAGGTTCAAGATCACATGGAGAAAAATAATTTCGTACAAGTTTTGGAATGCATACGTATATTTGTAAAGGATTCAATCGTTTCCAGACATTTTAGAACAGTCTGTTTAGGATAAACGTGGTGATGAACGAGGTGCAATGGAACGGACAGCCAGGTTTGGTGATTGGTCAGAGCATATGAGTTCTTCAGGAAAGAAGTATTATTATAATTGCAAAACAGAAGTTTCTCAATGGGAAAAACCACGTGAATGGATTATTCGAACAGATAATCGTCAACGCCAATCCAATGATTACTCCTCTAGGTCAAGTGAGTCTATTTTTTATTTATTAATTCATTTCTATTTTCAAGAAATTAATTTTCTATAAGATAATATTATAATACTAAAGATCATAAACGAGCAATATATTTTAAACATTTTCATAGATTTTAAATATTAAACTTTTATATAATATATAAAATCAATTATAGTTGTAGTTCAAAGGGTTAAATAAAATTAAACAAATATCGATACAATTGCTTTAGAATCTGTTGCTCGCAAATAAATATTAGAGCTATGAATATAACTGTTTATTAATAACATCTCCGTCTATTAAATAGACTATTATTTTATAGGTCATGATAAACATTCCAACTCGCGATCAAATAGTAGCAGCGTGCGAGATGGTAAATCATCGCGGCAATCCGACAAGCGGGAATATTGGACTTCATGTAGTGGAAGTAGCGGTAATACTAGAGAAGAAGTTTCTACGCGTGATAGGGAGAGAGAAAAGGAACGAGAGAGAGAACGGGAGAGAGAACGAGAAAGAGAAAGGGAGAGAGAAAGGGAAAGAGAGAGAGAACGAGAAAGGGAAAGGGAAAGAGATTCTTGTAGGGAAGAAACAGGAGCAGAACGTCAAGCTCAAGATATGGATATTTCACCTGGTGATTCTACACCTACTTCTGAACCTTTAACATCCTGTGCTCACGATCCACTGCCGCAAGGTCCTGTTCTACTGGCCACTGGTATGTTTTGAAATTATTATATAGTGCAATTTATAGAGATACCATTTGGGTTTTTCATTCTTTTTTTTTTATTTTATTTGTTTGTTTGTTTTTTTTATTTTTAGCATTACCTCGATTAACATCACATCCACCATCGACACCACAACCGCCTGGAAAATTAAGTTCACCAACCCAACAACAAGGGAATAATAATGCCCCAGGACCACCAGTTTCATTAGCAAGCTTACCAAGACTTCTTTCTCAAATCACTGGCAGTAAAGAGCAACCTGACATTACACCACAGAAAGCGTTACAGACAATTCAAACAGCTATTTTGCTATCTAGACAAGTAAGTTATATTGTTTTATATGTAATAATTATTTTAAATTATTACTCTTATAGATTATGATCTACGATTAAGAACGATAAAACATCGTGACTATGTTTATTTGTACATTTGTAGCAATCAGCAAGTGGAGACCGAAATAATAGTGGCAATGATGTAATGGTCCCATTAAAAGTTGATACTAGTGGCAATACTACCAGTGAGGGACCACCTACTCCAACCCATTCAGAAACTCAGGATTGTATCGATGCTCGGAAATGTAAGTTTTTAAATGAATTCTTTTCTGTTGTAACAATTTTGTAAGCATGTTTATAAGGTATTCTGTTATCGGAATTATTTTCGCTTGCACAATGAGTAATGCACGTTCAATGAATTATTACCTGGAAATCTTATTCTATAGATTAAAAGTCCTAGATTCATCTTCTGTTTATATTTCATATGTACAGTGTATAAAGATGTATGTGCAGTACAATAATATAAGCTATACAACAGAGTTTGCTTTCTAAACTAACTATACGCTTGTTCCACAAATATCCCAGACTTCAACAGAAAAAATTTTTAAATATTATTTTTTAGATCTAACTAATATCGATTTTAAACAAACATCTGATAGATACACAATTATATTTATTTATGTATATTACTACTCATTTACAGTAACCAGTCCTGGAGGAACGAATTCTGGGGTGCAAGGTCTAAGTTCATTGCAAAGTCTTAGTACATTAGGTTCTCTTGGAAATTTGAGTAATACTGGAGGTTTACAAGCATTGTCTAGAGTACAACCTCCTTTAACACCTTCCCTAACACCGTCGCTCGCTAATCATTATCGAGAAGATTTAACACAACATGTGCGTGCCTTTCCAGCCGATATCCTTGAAAAACAGGTAATTTATATAAAATAATATTGTTATATTATAATTTCCATTGAAGTGTTTAAATTTTATATAATTTATATAACTGCTAATGGGTGTATAGATAATCAGCTTAGAATGACTTGTTATTTTCTTTTAGGCACAAAAACTTAGCGAAGAAGCACATACAATGGGCAGTTTACAGTGCACAAGAGTATCGGCAGAATTGAAAACAGCACGATCGATAGTGAGGCTGACAGAAATTCAGGCAACATTACAGGAACAAAGGTAAATATTCTTTTCAAATATTTTTTTTAAAATGTCATCTTCGAATTTTTCTTTTCGTTTGCATCTTTTCTCCGATAAAAAGTTTGTTTAAATGTTCATATTTGAACAAAATTAAGTCAATCTTTAACACATTTCAGGATATTATTCCTCCGTCAACAAATTCAAACATTGGAGGAACTAAAATCCCAAAATTCCTTCATGTCTGATGATTCTTAGTGTAAGAAACTTTATAAAATAATTATAATTACAACCTATAATTAATTCATGAAAAAAATAAAACATAATTATTAATATTCTCATTAATATTGAATAATTAAGATTGTACCTAAATTATAATATCGTGATAGAAGTGATATAATAGCAAATGAATATGGGCTGCCTAGAGAGGTCAAGCTGTTTCGATATCAGCTGACGAGTCTTATTAATTAATTAGTGAATCCACCTCTCTAGGAAGCACAAGAGGCCTATCCAACTCACAGATGCAACACTGAGTAAATAGAAAGTGAATAAACTCTATCGGTTTAATGCAAACCACTAAATTGTATATCTGAATTGTCCACAGCATCTTGTATTACCTGTGTTATAATACGTGTCAATGTTTCTCATATCCCACGATTATGCGACATTTTAACTAGTTGAAAATTTTTGTTGTAAATCTCGGAATAAAATTCGTGCCACAAGTTTTAATCCAGTTCTTTATCACCATTAACTCACCTAATTACCCACACATTTCATCTGGTGAATGATAGTAGTGAAATTTAAGAAAAATTTGTGGACGCAATAATTTACTTATTTACAGCGCTTTTTTTGCTATTTGATATTTAACAAAGAATGTTATTACCGTAGAAATACGAGTATTAGAGACATTAGCATTTTATATCATGCATAATTGATGGCTATTGCTGATTTTAAAGAAATTTAATATGTTTAAGTATAAAGCAATGAATATTAAAGATTATTAAGATTTAATTGTGTGTATCTTAATAATAACATGATCCCATAATTTATATTTAATTATTATGTAAACATATAGGATTGTATAGCTATATTGGTAGATTCTTTTAAACAATCATTATCGATAGAATATATCATCAATCATTGATGGTCTTCAATTTATTATGTATGAATCTGTTTTCATCTTTTGTAATAAAAAAGAGACTTATTGTATAGAATGGAAAGTGTAATCACCGACAAATTAAACATATCGACGATGTATCTTATAATTTTAGATAATTTTTATTTCACATAGTCATTGTATATCTACGTAACAAAAAAGAACTAAGTAGCTTTCTTATGTCTTTCCGTAAGAATGCATATGTTTTATAAAAGTAGAATTTATGATAAATAATATAATCATTAGTAACATAATTATTGCAAATTGCATTTAATATTTATTAAACAAATGTTCTCGAATATAATGCTTTAAAGAAAATATTAGAATTTAGTTTTCCTGTTATGTATTCTTTAGGGTATCTGTAACAAATGAAGGCCGTTTTGTAAATGAAACTATTGAAAGAAAAATAGTCTTTGTTTGTTGTATGTATATTAATCAAGCTCCTGCTTTTCTATGTAATAAAAACTTATAAAAATAAATAATATACACAAAAATTCAGGATGGTGGAAAACACGAATTTGTATAAGTCACAGTATAAATTTCTCACTTTATGTATTTCAATAAGGAACTGTCAATGAGTGAGCCTGTTACTTATAGAAATAAAGAAACAAATTAGAAAAAAAAAAAAAAATATAACATAAAGACATTCTTAAATTGACATATGTTATATAAACATCAGTGGTTGCAATTAAATTTTAAATTATTTTTAAATCGTTTCACAGTATGTGAGCCAAAGTATTTCAATATATGCGCATTTTTAAATTACTCTTTCTCAATGCCACTTACATAAAAATTAAAATAAAAGTCCCACTGTGATAAGAACATACATACATACATGCATATATATATATATATATATATATACATATATATATGCATTGGTGCGCAATATCAAAATTCTTTGATTCACACTCCTTACAAAGAATGGACTTCTAGAAAAACGCTACACATTTAGAAATAAAATAAAATTGTCAACAAAAAATAAACAACATTACTGTTTTCAATTACTTTTTTCATATATCCTAATATCGTATGAGAGAGATACAATTATTATAGATTACAGTGGAGGATATTATTAAGAATGGTAATGGTAATTATGTTAATGTAGAGTTATACTCTACTAAAGGGTGTTTCTCAACACAAGCTCAATAGTCTTTGACCATCGCAAGTATTATTTTATTAAGGCAATGTCACCTTTATTTTATTTAAATAAAGGATAAAAGAACGAGCTATTGAGATAGTTGAGACTAATATAATCCTGTTCTGTGCTTCTGGTCCACAAAAGATCCAATATCTTTCATATAGTTCGAACGTTATTATTATCATTGTTACTATGATTATCGTTATCTTCATTTCTTATATTCTATTTAATTATTTTGCGAAATTAACGTATATACTGAGTTAATTGCCTATAATTTGAAATGTGAATATATCAATTATTTATGATAAAAAAAAATTCTAAAGAAGAATATCTTTGGCTCGGAAATGTTTAGTTTTCTAATTTGTCTTGATATGCTCTACAACTTTTGTATTAGTAAACAAATCAAGTTTCAGTTAAAGAAATGTCGATAATCTTCATATTTTGGAAAAAAAATATGATTCTCAAGTAATTGTTTTCTACACATAGAAACCCCTTTGAATCCAATATTCTTCTTTAGATCATTTTTTTGTAACCAGTAATCAAAATATTTCAGACTTTCAATTATAGGCGATTTATTCGGTACATCGGTATATAGTGACGCATTTTGCTTTCATTCAAAGGAAGAAATTGGTTATTACTTTGAAGATGACATATATTACATTTTTAATGTATAACATTGGAAATGAACATCCATCAACCATTTTTTAAGCGTATTTTAAGAGCTCTGTTTGTGCGAATTAAAACGACTTTTTACATTTTGCACATTAACAACTACAATTAATTTTCAAATTCATTGGTTGAGAAACACCAACTTGTTTCATTATATCATCTAACATTATACCATGTCATGAGCATGTAATTACATCCTCATAGCACCTGAAGCAAACAGTGAACATTCTCCCACATCTATATTTTATTTAATTATAGTCAGTCATTGGATTTATTTCATAACAAACTCTCTCATTCGTGAACATTGAATCATTGGTTAATATATTCTCAGTAGAATCCTAACAGACATTCATGTGAATTCGGTACAGTACATAATTTAATGGACTAAGATTGTAATAAGGCCTCAGAACATGTAATTCATTGTAACATCTCATAACTTACAGAACTATTATGCTAAAAATAAAGATTTTAATATAGTTAATAAATTAAATAATTATATTATGAACTCTTTTCAGTATAAAAGAGAAATGGTAAAACAATAATACATAAAAGTTTAAATAATATTATCTTTTTTAAGTAATATTTCTAAGCATGTTATTGATAATAATTACAGTTGTAATTATTAACGACTTTACTGGAAATCATTCAAATATTTACAACCAAATTAATCTTGCTGTAATATTCTTAATATCGTATTTTATTAACTATAATAAGTGATCCTATTAGTCATGAGTTGTTACATATATTTACTGTTCAACCATTTTAATGTAGTGCTCTTCAAATGTTTATACAAACATATTTCAATGGAGAGTACAAAGTGCTACAAAACAATTCCAATATGATCCACTTTAAAATCGATAATATATCTACTTCATAGACTCGTTATGTATTTTTAAGGCCATATACGAGTTTTAATACAAATATGTCTGTCTCTTTTGAACAGCATTTAATATATTTATTAATTTCGAAATTTGCCTAATAATAGACAAATAGACCACACAGCCTTAACAGAGAATGTTCACGGTATAAGACAGCAGCATAGATATAGCTCAGCGCAGCCTCACTTTACCATTGCTAATCATGTTTGTATTATAATGGTTTAAATCAAATTTTTTTTAGTTATAAGTAGATACGCGCATACATATATATGTATGAATGTATATATACACATAGGTATATTTTATTCATACAATAATCCTTTGTATCTTATAATTCTTATGCATAGAGCACATCTAAATCTACAGCATTGTCTACTGTACAGAGTAAGTATAGAAATACTAGCATTCATTGGACAGTTTTCAAAGATAATAAATGTGCATCAGTGTCGCAAAGTAATAAAATAAAATAACTTGTTTGTATCTGCATTAACCATTTGATTAACGATATTGCTTATAATATAAAGAAGTATATAAGAGGATGACACTGATTCAATAACTTTGAAAGAAATAAGCATTTGCACAAAATTATTATACCATGGTTGTTATTTCTTACGAATATATCCTGAAATTAAAAATTGTTTTAATATGTATATGAAATATCACACAACAACGTATACAGTAACAATAATAACAGACCATTTTTTACCTACATGTCTACTATGGCAGAATGGGTCATGTGCCGAGTTATTCTTGCCTACTGTCAATTCTAAGCCAACATTATAGACATAACTATTATAATCTTAAATAGGACGTGCATGACTTAATATCGATTCAATGATTATCGTTACACGTCATCTAACTACTTTCTCATTTAGGGACTTCTAAAAAGAATAATCTATAAATTGTTAATCACACAAATAACAATACGTTAATAATTAGATTTACGAAAATTAATACCACTTAAAGGATTATGCGTACTATAAAAATATGACATTTCTTTAAATAATTCTTTAACATCATCTAGTACAAAAAGTCTACAAAAAATATTACTTTTAGATTCTATTAAAAATGAAACTATCCATAAATAATAGAATTATTAAACATAATTATATTGTGCTTTAATTAACAAATGTAAAACATGTTATCCACATTTTATCTATGCTTGAATTACTAAAGAATTTTGTCTTCATTAAATTAAAAGCTTCTAAGCTGTTAATATCCTTTTCTATAGTTTTATTAATTGTAACATACGAAACAATTAGCATACGCGAAAAAGAAAAAAGAAAACGGAAATGAGAAACTATTATGAAAAAAAAAAGATAAACATCTTGAAATATTTAACTTTTTAGAAGTCCCATAATAATTTATTTTCATTCAACATTTGTCTCATGCTTCCCACTCATTCTATTGAAAAACACGCAACATTATTATAATATAAGCCTATTAAAATGGCATTCAGTATTTTCTTATAGGAATATTTCATTCGATATATAAAAAAAATATACAATTTCGACTACTCAATAAAACGTTTAGTAATCGCGAATTTGTACTGTCCGAATGCCATTTTAGTGTAATTTACACTTCTCGTGGACTAGTACTACAAAGTTGTAGGCCTGCCCATGAAATTCTAATTAAAATATTGTGTTAAATTTTCCTAAATTAATATTTATATGTAATGGAATATATATATATATATATATATGTACATTCCATATACATATACATATAGATATAGATACATATGTATATTATATGATACATATACATATATATCTATATGTATCTATATATAGTCAATTCACAGTGCTTGTAACGTATTAACCCCATACGAAATAGTCGAGGTACATTTCTTTAGGAAACACTGTTTACCTCATCATTG